GCTTGCCGTGAACTTTAAATTTGTTTTTATTATTGTAAGCAAGGTTGTATATCTTTTCTTATGGTTGAGGTGTTGGTATTTCCTTTTCTGTGAAATATCTTTCCATATCTTTTGTTCATCTTTCTTTTACTAAGTTTTTATTTGCCATTTTTTTTTTTTTTTAAGAGACGGAGTCTTGATCTCAGCTCACTTCAGCCTTGCCTCCCAGGTTCAAGAGATTCTTCTGCCTCAGCATCCCAAGTAGATGGGATTACAGGTGCACGCTATCACGCCCAGCTACTTTTTGTATTTTTAGTAGAAACAGGGTTTCACTGTGTTGGCCAGGCTTGTCTTGAACTCCTGACCTCAGGTAACCTGCTGCCTGCCTCAGCCTCCCAAAGTGCTGGGATTATAGGCGTGAGCCCCGTGCCCAGCCTTATCTGCCAATTTCTAGGCACTCTTTATATATTAGGAAGTTTACTCTATCTGATATGAGTTATCATATTAGGAGGAAAAAAGCTTCCTGGGGTCTCTACAGGTTTTTTATTTCTTCAGGTTTTGAGTATTCTTTTTGTACTTTAAAATTTAACTTGTGGCTGGGTGTGGTGGCTCATGCCTGTAATCCCAGCACTGGGAGACTGAGGAGGGTGGATCACAAGGCCAGGAGTTTGAGACCAGCCTGGCCAACATGGTGAAACCCCATCTCTACTAAAAATACAAAAATTATCCAGGCATAGTGGCATGCCTATAATCCCAGCTACTCAGGAGGCTGAGGCAGAAGAATTGCTCGAACCTGGGAGGTGGAGGTTGCAGTGAGCTGAGCACTCCAGCCACTGCACTCCAGCCTGGGCGAGAGAACGAGACTCTGTCTTGAAAAACAAAACAAAACAGCAACAAAAAAACTTGTGTTTGCTGTCATGAGGAGTCTTGGTTTTTATACTGTTGAATTTATCAATATTTCCTTTAAGACTTGCATTGTCCTGGTCCATTATTAATGGCACAGAAATCATTCATTCCTTTTCCCACAGTGCCTCCTTCTTCTTTTCCTCTTTTAGTTTTGGATTGACAGCAAAAATACTTTTGATACCTTCCCCCAAGTTTGCATTCCTGGAGATGTATTTCTTGTCAATGATAGGGTAGCCCTTGATAGCTTTGTTAGGAGATTTTAGTGGACTGTAAAATTCCCATTTTCTTGGTATAGGCACTCTGGGAAACTGACAGTTTCTTTTAAACTAAACATGCAATTACCATATGACCCAGCAATTGCATTCTTGGGCATTTATCCCAGAGAAATGAAAACTTATGTTTACACAAAAACCTGTACATGACTGCTCACAGCAGACTTGTTTGTAACAGTCTCAAACTAGAAACAACCCAAATGTCCCTCAGTGGGTGAATGGTTAAACAAGCTGTGATACATAGATACCATGGAATACTACTCAGAAATAAAAAAAGAATTAACCATTGATATATAAACAACATAGACAAATCTCTAAAAGTATTATGTTGGGCAAAAAAAAAAAATCCAATCCCAAAAGCTTACATGATATATTATTTCATTTATATAACACTTTTGAAAGGACAGACTTTGAGAAACAGTGAATGGATTAATGGTTGCCAGTTATTGAAGACGGAAGGGGGGTGATGGAACTTTACAGCATCTGACCATGGTGGTGAATACATGAACCTACGTATGGGGAAAAAGTTGTACAGAACTAATTACACACACAAATGAGTGCAAACAAAATGAGGAAATCTAGGCTGGGTGTGGTGGCTCATGCCTGTAATCCCAGCACTTTGGGAGGCTAAGGCAGGCGGATCACCTTAGGTCAGGAGTTTGAGATCAGCTTGGCCAACATGGTGAAACCCTGTCTCTACTAAAAATACAAAAATTAGGCAGGAATGGTGGCACATGCCTGTAATCCCAGCTACTCAGGAAGCTGAGGCATGATAATTGCTTGAACATGGTTGCAACGAACGGAGATCATTCCACTGTTCCCCAGCCTGGAAGACAGAGCGAGACCGTGTCTCAAAAAATTAAAAAAAAAAAAAAAAAAAAAAAAAAAAAGAGAGAGAGGAAATCTTTCTCTCCTGTGCAGCGACATACTCCTGTAGTCCCAGCTACTTGGGAGGCTTGGGAGGCCGAGGTGGGGAGGATCTCTTGAACTCAGAAGTTTGAGCCAGCCTCGGCAACAGAGGGAGATACCATCTCGAAACGAGAAAAGGGAGGGATGGATAGGAAATCTGAATAAGATCGGTGGATTATATCTATGTCAATGTCCTGGTTGTGATATCGTACCATAGTTTTGCAAGATGTTACTATCGAGGGAAATTAGATAAAGGAGTCACAGGATCCTATACATAGGATCTTAATAAAAATTTCAATGAAAAAAATCCCAATTTCTGCTAATACTGGATTCACCAAAACATACTACCTAGAAGCAGGTTCCGTTGAAGTAACTTGTGCTCTCCTGTGTTAGGACTTGCGGTGCAGCAGCTTAGCAGTGGAATGTGGAGGAGTTTAGCAGTGCCTCGGGTTCCAGCCCTACTGTACTCTGCTCTGTCAGGCAGATGAAGATCTGAGAGCACTGACAAGCATTTCCTAGGATTCTCTGGGACAACCCAGCTGGGTAGCCATTCATACAGCCTGCCTGCAGGGAAAGAATACTGGCTTCAGCTCCTAATAGAAGAGTGTGGGGTGGATGTTGGTGGTTGGGGACAGTGAGGGGTAGACATTGGTGGTTGGGGTCAGTGGGGAAGATGAGCTTCGGCTGGGCCTGGTAGCTCACACTGAGGTGGGAGGACCACTTGAGCCAGAAGTTGGAGACCAACCTGGGCAGCATGGTGAAACCCGGTTTCTACTAAAAATACAAAAACTAGCTGGATGTGGTAACAAGTGCCTGTGGTCTCAGCTACTTGGGAGGCTGGAATGGGAAGATTGCTTGGGTCCAGGAGTTCAAGGTTGCAGTGAGCTGAGATTGCGCCACTGCACTCCAGCTGGGCGACAGAGCGAGACTTCGTCTAAAAAAAAAAAAAAAAAAAAAGAAGAGGTTGAGCTTTGATGTGCCCTGCATGTGCCCGATTGTCATATGTATCCTGTGTACCTTGTGCTGTAGTATTGGCTCTGGCATGAGACAGAGTGGCCTGGCATGTGATAGAGGGATCACTGGGATCCCCAAGACCCTGCTAGGGAATCTCTCAGGTCAAAACTATTTTTGTAATAATATTTAGACATTATTTGCAAATCATGGTCATTCTCTTACACAAGTGTCCAGTGGAGTTTTCCAGAGGCTAAATGATGTGAAGTAGTAACAGATTAAATGCAGAAGCAGCTATGAGATTCCAGCTGTTTTCTATTAAGGCAGACATTAAAAAGACATAAAAAAAAAAAAAAAAAAACAGTGCCATTTGTTTTTTTGTTTGTTTGTTTGTTTGTTTGTTTTTTTGAGACGGAGTTTCACTCATGTTACCCAGGCTGGAGTGCAGTGGCGCGATCTCGGCTCACCGCAACCTCCGCCTCCTGGGTTCAGGCAATTCTCCTGCCCCAGCCTCCTGAGTCACTGGGATTACAGGCACGCGCCACCATGCCCAGCTAATTTTTTGTACTTTTAGTAGAGACGGGGTTTCACCATGTTGACCAGGATGGTCTCGATCTCTTGACCTCGTGATCCACCCGCCTCGGCCTCCCAAAGTGCTGGGATTACAGGCTTGAGCCACCGCGCCCAGCCTGCCATTTGTTTTACTTTTTTCTTTTGGAAGAATATTTTCCTTAAAATGTTATTCGTGTTGGCCGGGCGCAGTGGCTCACACCTGTAATCCTAGCACTTTGGGAGGCCAAGGTGGGCGGATCAAAAGGTCAAGAGATCGAGACCATCCTGGCCAACATGGTGAAACCCCATCTCTACTAAAAATACAAAAAATTAGCCGGGCATGGTGGCACGCACCTGTGGTCCCAGCTACTCGGGAGGCTGAGGCAGAAGAATGGCTTAAGCCCAGGAGACGGAGGTTGCAGTGAGCCGAGATTGCGCCACTACACTCCAGCCTGATGACAGAGCAAGACTCTGTCTCAAAAAAAAAAAAAAAAAAAAAAATGTTATTTGTGTTAACGTGGAAAGGGGTTATCATTATCTTTAAATGATTTAAGATTTAAGGATGTTCTCAGTTTTAATTTTTATAGGTGAATATCGAAAGATATAACCCACATAAACAAAAGCTCTTTGGGGTCCTTGGTAATTTTTGAGAGTGTGGGGGTTCTGACAATTGAGAATTGTTGGTTTGGCAGAAAGCAATAGGCTTAAGTTCTCTACTGGGCTTTGCTTTGTGAATGTGGGCATCATTTGGCCTCTTTAATTGATTTATTCTCCTGCAAATGCTATTAATTGCCCTGCTACATACTTATGAAAATATAATGCCCTATGCAAATACAGGGGAGTTTAATGGTTACATGACTAAACTGGTGTTGAAAGAAAATGTAAAGAATGAGAGTTTCTGGCGTGTTAGCTGACAGTCTGTTTACTTGATAAATATCTTCATTTTAGCATCTCCTAGCCATTTCTATATACATTTCATTTCTTTTTCTCAGTTTTTCCAGAAAACCATTTTAATTATTTAAAAAATTATATTCCCACATTTTCAATTAATAAGGGATTTATATTCCTTGATGAGATGTAATAAAGTCAGGAGTTCTGTCTTGGAGAAACCACTTATTAGCTGTGTGACTTTTGGAAAGTTACTTAACCTGTGTCTTGGCTTCCCCAGGTGTAAATGGAGCTAATGCTACCTCACTTTCCAGCGCAGTTGTGAATATGAAAAATAGTGTACAGGAAGCATTTAGCAAAAGTGCTTGGCACATAGCACATGCTCCATAAATAATATTTGCAACAATTGGCATTAACATATAACAGAAGATGCAAGATTAAATTGAATTCTTACCCTGTCTTCAATGAACTTATTAAACTACTTTATTCACAAGTTTATTAGCAGTAATTTTAATTTAATTTCATTTTTTTTCTCCTTTGAAGGGCTGTTGAGTGGCCAGACTTCCCCAACAAATGCCAAATTGGAGAAACTGGACTCTCAGCAGGTGTTGCAGCTCTGCCTCCGATATCAAGATCACCTGCATCAGTGTGCAGAGGCGGTTGCTTTTGACCAGAATGCTTTGGTTAAACGAATCAAAGAGGTAATGTACTGCAGGAAAATAACATTGCTGACTGGTTATTGTGATTGTCTGCAACTCTGGATTGACATTTGTCACTATTGCTTGCAGGAGATTGCTTTTTCCTAGCAGTAAAATGTGATGTTGAAAAAAGTGGTCCACGGAGCTAGGCCGATTTAGAGTTTGAATCCTGATCACCACTGATTTGCTTGGCCAAGTTGCTTAACTTCTCTTTGTCTCAGTTCCCTCATGTGAAAAATGGGGCTGATAATAGTAACTTACCCCAAGGGTTGACTGACAAATTGCTCAGTAAGTGTTAGCTATTATTCTTATATATAAAGTCCTGCAATACTTATTTGCTCTAGCTACCATTATATCTTTGAATTGACTTTAACCGCTTCCTGTGTATAATTTATATTTTGTTTCCCAGTAGATTATAATTTCTTTCAAAGCAGGAGTCTTGATACAAAAAGCTTCAGTGATTCTTACTGGTTTTATGGAAACAATTATGCCTATTTAACCCACAAATTTTTTTTAGAGAAGCGAAGCAGTGTAATTCATGTGAAAGTGCTTAGTAAACTGAAAGGCATGATATAAATATTGTATAATTATCAATCTCAGTAAGTAGGTACTTCCTTTAAGCACTTAAATGTGTCGTTGACCAGCTGCAGCAAAGCACAGTTCTAGGGGCACCTAGAAATAAGTAAATACATTTTCCAAAGTTTTCAGTCAAGAAGGGGTTTATATTCCTGATACCTGATGTACTATAATATCAAGGAAATGTCAGGAACTATTTGTTGGAGAAACCACTTACATGAATGGCACTCTGAGATTTGTTTAACAAAATGGCCCTTTAACTCTGGTGAGAGAAGGAGATGGACATGGAAAAGCACACAAGTGATGGGGCAAGAATCACTGCAGATGAACAATTTTTATAAAATGGAGGTAGTACATCTTTGAGATTATAAAGTAGTCATTAGTTATACTGACAGATTTAAATTTGCCAACATCTCCAGCATTTTAGTACTTAGCTTTCATAAAATGTTGTATGCATATGCTCTTCTCTCATGGGTTAAATACTATTATTTGGAAAACTATTAAACATGACCTTTGATATTGCTTTTCATTGATGTGGCTTTGCATATATTATAAACTTATTTTACTATATTATGGTCCACCAAGCTTTAATTTCCAAACATGACTCTTCATTGGCAACATGTGGGTTTTTGATTTATTTTAATACTGAGTTCTCCCCTCCTCCCAGTATGTCTACGTGTGGTCTGTGAATCATTATTTTTATAAGATGATATGGTTTGCCTGTGTCCCCACCCAAATCTCCTCTTGAATTGTAGCTTCCATAATTCCCACATGTCATGGGAGGGACCTGGAGGGAGGTAATTGAATCTTTCCCATGCTGTTCTCATGATAGTGAATAAGTCTCATGAGATCTGATGGTTTTATAAAGGGGAGTTCCCCTACACAAGCTCTTTGCCTGCCGCCATGTAAGATGTGACTTTGCTCCTCATTTGCTTTTAGCCATGATTGTGACACCTCCCTAGCCGTGTGGAACTGTGAGTCAATTAAACTTCTTTCCTTTATAAATTACCCAGTCTTGAGTATGTCTTTATTAGCAACATGAGAACAGACTAATACGTAAGGTTGCCAAATGGTACTGATGCCACCCTCTATTAGCTGGGATTTGGGAACCAGTGGTCTTAAGCACTATTTCTAAAATAAGTTCGATAAAACTAGTCCCATATAGGCCGGGCGCGGTGGCTCACGCCTGTAATCCCAGCACTTTGGGAGGCCGAGGCGGGTGGATCATAAGGTCAAGAGATCAAGACCATCCTGGTCAACACGGTGAAACCCCGTCTCT